CCCCAAAACCCCAAAACCCCAAAACCCCAAAACCCCAAAACCCCAAAACCCCAAAACCCCTTTTAGACCTGAATATTGAGCCATTCATCTTTTTTATGGATCTTAGAAGATTCCCTCAAATGCAATTCCGAGCTCATATTTCTCCTTTGCTGGTTCAGTGAAGATACCCACTGGGTTGAGTCTATCTGAGAAGGTGATCTTGAAGTTGTCGTTGATCTTATGGATCCAAGAGAACTCAGCATGCACCTTCTTGGTGATATCGAACTTACCCTTCACGGTAAAGTCGTCACTCAAAGCCTTTGAGAAAGCTACAGTTGTAGTGGTTCTATCTTGGAGAGGTCCTTCCTGCTTAACAGCAACTTGAGTCTCAGCAGCGAAGGTGTCGAACTGATCAAGCTTCTTAGTGGAGAATCCAAGCTTAGCAAGATGGTTGATACAGTCATGCTTCATGTAGACAAAGCTTCCATCTAAGTCAGCAGCAGCGACTCCATGAATGGAAGAAGGCTTCTGAGTCTTCAAGTCTCCAATAACTTCAGATCCGATGAAGAACTTGTTTTGGTAGGAGGAGAGAGTAGTGAATTCTCCCTTCAAATCTTTTAGACCCTTGTAGGTAACATTTCCTTCAAAGTAAACAGAGACATCATCGTTTAGCTTTGGAAGTCCATAAGTGAATCCTGCAGTCAAATCAGGAGTTTCATCTCCAGCCTTGTACTCCAATCTTCCCATGAAAGATCCTTCAGTAGTATCATTGTTGACTTGTGGAGGAGTGCAGGTCTTCTCGATCTTGACCTTGTTTGGAGTAATTTTAGCCTCAAATTTAGACTTCTCACAGCTTGCTTTAACCTTCAGTTCACTGCCAAGCTTTAATCCATTTCCTTCCTCGGTGTTATCAAAAGTGAGCTTTTGTTCGAAAGACTAAATGAATCACTAAGCAAATCTTACGTGTTTCTTGCCATTCTCTTCCTTTTTGTTAGATTTGGCAGTCACTTGGAATGGTGTTCCACTGACGAAGTCGAATTTGTAGAAATCTGCATGGATTAGCCGGAGAATTTACCTTCATAAGATTTCAAGAAGTTTGAATAAAATGTAGCCATTTCTGAGATTTATTAAAATATAACTATATAAATGGTATTTAAAATATAATAATTGGGGTTTTGGGGTTTTGGGGTTTTGGGGTTTTGGGG